AAAAAAAAAAAAAAAAAAAAAACTCCCTGGAGTAGAGCTTGATACAAACAAAACCATTCTCAAGGAATGGTGTGACATCTAAAATGCAAATATAAAAAATACACTGCTTGAAACAAAAGAAACAATATACACTACAGATGCTCAATATGAACAATGTTGGCTACTTACCCCCCAAGCCTTCTCCAAGACATGGTCCCTCTCACTCCTGCCTGACACAACACATGCCCCACCAGGCACAGAAAGAGCGTTGCACAAGGCTCAGCTCATGTGCAAGGAGGAAGCCAGGCATCCACATGAAGGTCATGGCCAAGTTATTCTACATCATTTTTTACAGTTTCCAAACAACAGCTTGACTTCTAGATTCACATCCTCTCATTCCACTGCTTGGGGTCAGTGGACATAACCCAACGTCATAATATGTCACACAGCACACACACAGGCCAATAGAGTCTTTCATCTTCCTTCAAGTTAAATTTGAGTTGGTACCACACAGACAGGGATTTCATCTCAATTCATGCCACATTCACACACCTGCCCTCAAACACACATCCAGTTTCACAGATAAACGTTGTAAGTCAATTGGAATGAAACAAAAGATCAAATAAAACTACAAGAGCAAATCTTCAGGAGCTTGCATTAGGCGATGATTTCTTTGCTAGGATATCAGAAACAAAGAAATAAAAGATTGATACACTGTACTAAATAAAAATTTAGAACTTGGGGGGGGAAGGTGGGGGTCATGACACATGGCACACCTCTTGGGGGTGGGACACAATTATAAGAGGGACTTTATCTAACAAAGGTAAGCAGTGTAACCTAATTCTTTGTATCAAAATCCCAATGAATCCCAAACAATAAAAAATATAAATATGTTAAAAAAAAAAGAACTTTGGAGTATCAAATGATGCTGCCATAGAAAGTAAAAAGACAACCACAGAACGGGGGAAAAATCTACAAATCGCATTTCTGATAAAGGACTTCTATCCAAAATAAAGAACTCTTAAAACAATAAAAAAGACAACCCAACTTTTAAAATGAACAAAGCACTTGAATAAATATTTCTCCAAAGAAGATAAACAGCTGGCCAATACATACAGAGAGTGCTCGATGTCCTTAGTCATTAGGGAACTGCAGGTCACGCTAGCTAGGATGCTATCACCCGAACAGCAGCAAACACAGCCCTGGTGAGGCTGTGGGGAAACCAGACCCACACACAGAGCCAGAAATATAAAATGGTGCGATCATTTTAGAGAAAGTTAGGCAGTTTTTTGCTACCATAGGATCCAGCAGTTCCACTCCTAGGTCTATAACCTAAAAGAAATGAAAACACACGTCCACTCAGAAACTTGTATCCAAACGCCACAGCAGCAGTATTCATACCAGCCAAAGGTGGAAAACACAAATGTCCACCAATCGATAAACAGGACAAAGTGCAGTGGGGCCGCACAGCAGGACACCACAGCCCAGCAGAGAGGACCAGCCAACACAGCCACACACAGACAAGCAAGAGGGTTCAGACCACCAGACTCCAGACCCCATTCCCTCAAGATGTCTAGAAAAGACAAATCCATAGACACAGAAAGTGCCTTAGCAGCTGCCCAGGGGAGCAATTAAGAATTACTGCTCTTGAGTACAGGGTCTCTTTTTAGGGCAATGAAAATGTCCCAAAATTAGATTACAGTGATGGTTATATAACTCTGTAAATACACTAAAATCCACTATACACTTTACATGAGTAAACTTCATGGTAAGTAATTATATCTCAATAAAATTGTTAAAAAAGAATAACCAAATTAAATAAAAACTGTAAGCTCTAAAAGATCTCCTGTGCATTGAGATGCCAAGCACAAAAAAGCCATGACTTCAGACGCCACCAGAGCATGCAGGCTGGTGAGCTGCACGGCCACACCACCACAGATGCTCCACCTGGGCAGATGCCCTCCCTGCTGTGCAGTGTCTGTGGTGACCTACTTGGATGGGGCCCTCTCCATCCTTTGCAGACATCCTTTCCTTCTGCCCAAACTCAGGGTTTCCCGCATACCCCACAACAGACAGGGGTATACAATGGCAGGTCTGAGGTTGCCTCCGCATCTGCCATGCTGTGCCATGACCCAACCGCTACCACCACACCAAAGGTTCCCAGACCCTCGACCCTGACTCCATTCCATCAGAAGCATCAACCTTTAAGGAGCATGGTCACCCCAGCCTCGCTCCAGGGACCACTATCACCCCAGCTCACTCCAGGGAGCGCTGTCACCCCAGCTCACCCCAAGGAGCACTATCACTCCTGCCACACCCCAGGGACCATTATCACCCCAGCTCACTCCAGGGAGCACTGTCACCCCAGCCTCGCTCCAGGGAGCACTGTCACCCCAGCCTCGCTCCAGGGACCACTATCACCCCAGCTCACTCCAGGGAGC